ACACGGCCCATATATCACTTACAGATCCTGCAGACCCAATGGAATATAATATTCATTACTATCTTGTCATTAATGTATAATCACCTGAAAATAAGAATTGATGTGTTTTTGTTAGCTTAGAATGAGCACTTCATAAGAAGCAGGTCCTCTTCACAGAGTCTGCCATGTTGCACCGTCATGTTTCTATATCAACTGAAGGCCGCTGTTCTCCTACAGCTTGAGCGACAGTTTTGCGCTCGGCGGCTCACGTTACTTTTAGATGAAAATGATCAACTTCTCTGACCAAAGGAAAACTAAAAAGGTACTACACCATTTAAAATTAGACTTTCTAGGGTAAAAAAACAATCTAAAACAAACATTTTTTCTGTGAGGTGTATCAAGCAGAACACCAATGAGGTTTTTGTATTTATTACCTAAGTGTGTCTCGGATTGCAACATATTTTATAAAGGCACATGTTAAGATACTATTATTGAAATGAATATAACAAATACTGAGGTAAGTGCAGCTCAGAAAAGTCTAATTATACAATGTTTGTCCCTACTTAACTATTCTACTCTCCACCCCCATAGGTTTGTTTGATCTGACAATAAAAGGACCTCAATGTTATGACGAGTGCTAAAGTGGAATAAGAATGAATCTAAGAGCCTTGACTCTTTGGTCAGGGATCACATGATCAATACTCCATTCAGCCTTCAAACAAACTGGAAGTGATACAACCTTGGGTTGAACTGTCAGCTTCGTATATTTCTTCCCCTATATTGGTTATTTTAATTGCCTGTATCTTGTTTCACTGCCTAGACATCTGACACTAGTGACTGCCAGAAAAAGTGTTTTCATCTTTCCAATAGTGAGCAGTGAACACAAAATGGCCTCAACTACAACAGCTTGTATGCTGCAACCGGAGAATCCTGTTGAGAAACTGAAAACACATACGCACGTGCATTCGCTAACACAAAACAGATGGCTCCGTCTTCAACCACGTTATGAGTTACTTCACCGCAAAATCTTCGTGTAGCTATTGGAATCTCCCAACAACAATTCCCCAAAAACCCTGGCCTCTGCTGACCTTGACCCACGTTAGATCACGTCACTCGGTGGGAACCACGGCCTAGTTCTGCCCCTTGTTTATTTCCCTCAGGGTCCCATAGATCCCGGGGACCTCTGGAGTAAAAAACACAAGACAGTAGCAACCCGCTCGTGTCACATTCCTCCGCCAGGGAACGTCCTAACAAACTGTCATGTGATCCGAGTAGTCGTTAATGTGAGTTGGAGGAAGAGACGATGGTATTAAAAACATGAAGCTACAGTGTGTGAGGGTAGCACAGAGAAAAGAGTTAACATTATGAACACGCAATTGGCCAAAATGGACAGGAAATAACTGTGTTGTTGTGTGACTATTATGTTGTTGCATTGGTGAATTCGAGGAAAATTCCAATAATACAACACAGCAAAAAGCGAGTCCCCCCCCATACTCTATTGAATTATTAATATCATGGCTGTGGTCGTGTCAGATTTTCCTCAAGTCTACTGAAGCCCCTTTTGTCACAGACCATGAAGAAGCTGAAATCTGGCATCACTAGATTGATGCTCTCAAATCCACACACAATTTTATTTCATCTGATTTAATAAAGTTCAACTTAGTGAGCTCATACGCTCCCTTTTTTGGCAAGGCTTCTTTATCCTCTCAATACTTAACCATGAAATGAAAACCATGAAATGAAAACAGCTCATCTTCTCCCAATAAAATAAAAATGTTACACTACTCTGCTTTTTGTGTTTTGTATTACAAAATCTTCTGTTCTTTTTTCTATGAATCAGTTTCATTCTCACCTATACATTTTTTTTTTCCTGAAATTCTATATTTGTCCCGTCTGTGCTGACGTTCAGTCAAAAGACAACACCGGAAGATAAATAGGTCCTGATCTGAGGTTTCTTCTCACACCACACTGAGGCTGAGGGGAGGAGGGGCCTGTGGTGTTTTCCCTTCCAATTTTGGAAGACTAACTATTTTGAATGGTTTCCGCCACGACATCGAGGGGTACTGGAGGAGATTAGTGGTACTGTGTGGGTGCAGTCTGTGGCTCATTATAACCATTATCCTTAACCTGATTCGATGGCTGACAGAACCACGGAGGTCTGAAGAAGCAGATATGTTTTCACTGGATCTGCACAAAGTGTTCATGTGTTCATGGTGTGTGTACATCAAGAGTTTACATGCATCTTTGCCGTGTTGTGGTGTAATTTATACCATTACTACTCACTGAATATTGATTATGATTTTACAGCAACAAGAAACATCTTTCACATTCTTTTACTTTTCTAGAAATTTATTTTAAAATGTAAAGTAATGTTTCCAAGAGCAGTTAGATATAATCTGTTGTACCTCTATTCTAATTTTCCAACATTATTTTGTACGTAGTTTGACATTTCTTGAAATACCGTATGCTTATTCTCTATGAGACTTAGATGAGATGATAATTAGGACTCATATTTGTAAGGAACCAGCACATAGCTATAGCTAAGCATAAAGACTGGTAGCAGGGGGAAACAATTAGCTTGAAGAAAATACACACAGTTTTAGGGAGAGTCACCTGATAGAACCATTTAATTGCTGGGTGTACCGCTCGTACTTACTGTAAAGATATGAGAGTGGTATCAATCTTCACATCTAATTCTCAGCAAGAAAGCGAATTCCCAACATGTCAAATGATTCCTTTGTCCATGTTTCTCCATCATCCTTCAGTGTCCTGTGCCTCTGCTGTGTCCTCCAGCCTGTCTTGTAAGCAGGAAACCTTCCCACTGTTTAACTGTGCTTTTACAGCCTGCCAACATTGTTTACATCACTTCATACACTTACCACCCACTGTGGAAAAAAACACACTCAAGTGGAAATAAAAATACCCAGTCAGTCAGAATAGAATGCAGGTCGAAGCCGCTGTGTTTGCATAATCAGTCGATAAACTGCAAGTTAACATGTGCTGCTCTACAATCGTGCTGAGCATCAGCGGGTCTCATGGCTCCTTGTGGTTGTTGGTTGTAAAATGAAGGTCTGCTGACACAGGCCTCTAACAACAGCCACAAACACTTAGCCTGCTTCAATTAGCAGAGCTGTGCATTACCGGACAAAACCACTGTCTCCTGGACAGTGAAAATCAATGGCTGACACTCACACCAGCATTGAAGCACAGCAGTTCATCTTCTCAACAGAGCTGCACACTGTCAGCACTGCTTTAGTTTCTCTAGAGACGGAGGGAAACATTGCACGGACTGTATTACTTATGAGACAAGTGGTTATGTAGAAATTGTCTTGCATTTGTCAATTGAATTAAAATGTATATATGTTTTTCAGCATTATTGGTGCTAAAAGAAGATGCCTGTAGTGTTTCTGCACTGCATCACCTGTCAATCAATCAGAGTGGAAGGATGTTTCCCATTTCACTCATGTAGCCTGCATCAGTGTTCAGAGCAACACATGTCAAAGCTTTCATCCAGTTTGTAAGTGTCTCCATTCATTATTCAAACGGTTGCACCGAGATGACAGACACAATATAATCTGCTGACAGAGGTCGTGGCGAAGACTGTGGAAAGTGGATGGGGGAAACTAACGTTCAGCTGAAAGTTGATAAACGAAGACAACCACACTTTGTACCCCTCACTAATCCACATTTCAGCCTTGACAGTTGGGTTTCCTGGCTTTCACCCACCCAGAGGGCATCATCACACTGATCCTTTTGCCACCAACACCACCACTTGCATGAATAAAACTGGGTTTATACATGAACACACACTGAACACACACACATGGGATGAAGTCAGCTGATTCGAGAAGCACTTTGCAATCAAATATCATAGTGGGGATAAACCCTTTTGATCTGTGACCCTATGAAGATGTCAGCATGTCAGGGGGTACGAGGACTCATTGCACGTGTCAATGCTCGAGATGGATACTGTAACCAACAATTATATATTTATCATAATTATCATGTGTTTGATACTTGCTTTCTTGCCATGGCAAGATTGATCCCACTCTCGTATAATTTGAGCTATATACGGGGGTGACCGTGGCTCACTGGCTTAAGAGGGTTGTCTGGCAACTGCAGGGTCAACGGGTCAATCCTCGACTGGGATGTGCCACGTGTCGAAGTGTCCCTGAGCAATACACTGAACCCCCGGCAGTGGAGCGCCTGTCATTGGCAGCCCACCCATCCCTATATATAAATTTTGTGTATATGACAATAAAAAGGGTTTCTTTCTTTCTATAATATAATCATTATTTGTCAAGCACAGTCAAACAACTAACACAACTAGATCACCTAAGAGATTTAATTCAAACAATAAAGTAATTTATTAAAGTAAATACTGGATCACTTTTCTTTTTAAGGAAGCATTTCGATGAGTAGATATGAACCTTTCTTAAACAGTGGCCTAAAAGCTTCTGAGGAACTTAATCATTTACGTGATAGTGACAACTTTGAATGTTTGTATGTGTTAATGTAGCCTGCAAGTATATGTGATGCTTACATGTGTTGCTCTATGGTCTTTTTTTAATTTGCAATGGTTTCCTCACACCAAACTGCTCCTGATGATGTATTTTTAGTGAAGCTGAAAGCTTGAGAGTGGAACGTTTTGAATATCAGGTGATCTCCTGGCTAAAATTGTACCGTATAGACATATATATTTTATATTGTTCAAAATCCATTCAATTCAACTCCCCGGCGATGCTATCAGACAGCACACTATACTGTCGTTGTTTTGGGAAATGACCATTGAGTGCTTTGAGTACTAATGTATCTGCATTGATAAACCTTTGTGGGAGGGCTGGGCCAAGTATTGATTATAAATCTAGCATGGCTCACTGAAAGCACTCAGAGAAGTTTACATTACGAGATCAGCAGAGCAAAACAGCTGCTGATCAAGAGAAGGTAGGGAGGTTTTGAGTTTCTTTTTTGAAGGGGAAATAATTGATACAGTTTGTATAAGGGAATAAAAACACAAGCAAAACATTTAAAATATCTTTAATCATTGGATAAGCTCATCATTTACATACTGCATAATATAATTATCCACGTTAATAAACATAGTCAGTTATTTGTTTAACATTTCCACTTCACAAAAAAAAGAAATTCTCTGCACAAGATATTTAAAATGCACCATGAAAATAAAAGATGTTCCACTCACTCAAGTAAGATTCAGCGAACTGCAGTCGGTCTCTCTGGCTTTCGTCTTTCAATCCTCTAAGCTTTGTGTGGCCTAAGTAAAGTTTTGGACCCGGTTCAGAGCCCAGTGTGCACTCAGTGGGGTTTATTTCAATTCACTTCCATTTCTTTGAGCAGCTTGGGATGTGAACAAAACACACACACAGGGATAAATAAGATTCAAGGAAAGGAAATGCTTGATGGTGCCTCTTTGAGGAGCTGTTAGGTACCAAGAGACCCACGTCAGTCCTGGGATAAATTGTGCTTGTGCGTGTTTGTGCATGTATAAGAGGAAGGATGAAAACAGCAGGAGGCCCGGGAGTGGAAGCTTCCTTTTTGCTGCATGCTGTATGCATCGCCGCTCAGCTCACTATTTATCCCTCTATTCTGCCTCCAGGGAGACACAGCAAGTCTGTCTTTTACTGTAGCTTCTCAAAAAAGTCCAAAACTTGCAGGAAAATGGCTCTTGGCAGCATTACAGGTGGCTAATATAAAGAGTGGCAGAGCTGTGTGCTAATGCAGAACAGAGCAGTGGGGAATGTGAGAAGAAGGAAGCAGAGTTACTTTGTAGTGATATACCGCATGTGCATATTGTTGTGCTGCAATGAAAATGAAAAACTTGCCCTAACTTGCTGAATTTTTATCTTGGAATGCTTGTGATTTCTGCCTCTCGAGGAGTCTCAACACTGTTAATACCGCCCTCTTTTTTCTGTATTATTACATTAGAAAACACATGTTTTGGGCAGATGAATTCCTATTCCCTCAGTACGCCTGTATATCTAATGCATTGGTATAATGGCATTGTTCTTGTTAAACAAATCATTTACCAATGTTCTATAGATCAGTTATAACAGGATAAATGTTGGCTTATTGGTAAAATACTGCAATTGAATGCATTTATGCATTGTATTTGCATTTGGTCATAATGCAATTAGATGTTGGGAATCATGAATCAAATGCTCATGAGTGTCTGACTTTTTAAAATCTATCATGTCTGCAGCTTAAAAGTCTAGAAATAAGGGATGTTTCTCTACCTGGAAACCCAACGTTTGTTCATATTTATGGCTTACTATTGATCTATAAGACATTAGTAAATGAATCATTAAAAAGATCACAAGTTAAAACTTACAACCCTTTTTAAAGGGTTCCTCTTTAGACAGAGGTACCTGCTAAATGTAGTCGGGTTTCATCACAAATCACCGATAACCATCATTGTTATTATTCAGACCCGCATTGCATCACCAGTCGTCTCATCTCTTTCATCTCACCTGCCGTTAGCGCTGCTATAGCGCCACTAGCACCGCAGTGAACATTGTTTCATGTTGCCACTGGAGCTGAAGCCTGCTCGCTCTCATAGTCATGGCAACCTTGTGGATATCCACTTGTCTATGTAATCGTGCTGTTTGTCTTGCTGCCCAGAATAGCCAGAGGGTGCCTGGCACCTGAAGCCAAGGCAAACACACCACGCACTGGGCATCTGATGAATCCTGGACCATCATAAAAGAATAGGGCGGAAGGAGTCCAGGGTTGTGTTTACCTCTTCATACCCTCTAAAGAATACTGGAAACTGAACTTAAAGGTATTTTCCACCAGCGTGCCAGTTAAGTAACACTTCCATTCTTATCCATGTGCACACACAGCAGCTATTATCCCTCTTTCAGAAACAATCTGGCCACAAGCGATTTATTCTGGCACCTAGACTGTCAGCACTCATTAAATCTCTGCCAGTGAGCGATTTAAAACATATTTTGATTTTAAGCTGGATATGCCCACTGACAACACATGCATGTCGGGCTGCAGTGTATATATAGCTTCAGAGAGACACACTATAGCTTGATGTAATGTGTTTTACAGGTTTGTTCCTGGCATTACATTTTTTTTTTTTTTTCATATGGCTCTGCAAATTTGGAAAGAAAACCACAAACTAGCAGAGCAGACGGTCTTTTTGGCAGGCAGTGTTGCTTTACAGCCAACACATATGTTAAAAAGGGAAGGAGGTTTCAAATGACTTCATATCTGTGGCTGGATGATTTACCATGGTTGAAATAGGCACCAGCAATAGATTGACACTCTTCTTTTGGTATTAAAAAAAGATTCAGCGTGAAAGAATACAATTTTTAAAATGTGCCAACTTGATCAAGAGTTCAGGGTCCAGTTTAAGCAGTTTTCCTTTCCTGTTTTCAGCCTACAGTTGCTGTTTCTGTGGTGCCGGCTTCATGGTGCTGTCTCAAAGCGAGAGGGCATTGTGTGTGCATGATGTGTGGGTTGGCACAGACTGAACATTTCCATCAGACCAGTGTGGTGGAAAGTAGAATGAAAAGAAAGGCAGGAGGAGGAGGAGGAGGAGAGAGGAAACACTTCATTGGCTCAAACAAATGGACACGCTGAGTTTAACATCTTACTGTAGCTGCCTATAAAGATTTTGTTACAGTTAGTTGTGGCAGAAAGTGGATTGATCGAAGATGGACTGGCTTTATTTGACTTAAAGTCAAAATGTTATAACAACATATATGAATGTAAGCAGTTAAAGAGCCAGATCAGGGCAACAATTGAGTTTGATTAACCCCTCTCCAAACTAGGCATGACAGACCTTCCAAGACTTGGATTTCTCCACATGTAGAAGTGTAAAGGCTGGATAAAAGTGTATATTTAATCCATCGTTAGCATGTCCGGCGAACTAGCTTAGTATACAGTAGGCCTACACTTCAAAGAGTTTGCATATCATTAGGCTATGTTGAGGAGTAACTATGTTAAAAAGCCCTGTTCACGACGAGCACATCCACTTATTTGTTTTCCTTATAGTAACCAGCTTTACAGAACAATACAAGAACAATCCTGATCCTTTATTCTTTATTATTGTCTTCTTTTGCGCATGGATCATCATCTGGTGACTTTGCCTGCAACATGCAGCTTTAGCCACATTACAATTATTAACTGCATGTATGCAAACATAAACTACAGGGCGTGGGGCTTAGTCAAGTGGGTGGTACAAAACAAGTTTAAATAAATATCTTTTTACAGTGCATGAAATGTCTGAAAAACTATACCCAGGACTTTTAGGATGCAGAGAGCTGTGTTGGGTATCAAACATTTAACGTTTTTGGTACTGACTGTAATGTGTCCGTACTAAACGTATCGAAAACGGCAATCTTTTTTGGTATATAATCTTCACTGTATTGAAAAGTTTCAAACAATTCGCGGCACTAAAAGGAAAGAGTTCAAGTGAGACATTTTAGATCTTGAACCATAATGACTAGAGAGGGGTACGGATGTGCATACAACGTCTTTAATTTAATATCAGCTTTTACAGAAGGTCACATAAGGTAGGAGAGAGGGTAAGCCAGACCTTTTACGAGTTTTCTTTTTTGACAAGGTATCGGTTACTGTAGCAGTAAAAGTTATGTAACGATTATGTAATATGCTCCCCTCCGTTTTTCAAGTGTGTCGCTCTACCCCTCTTAACATGACTAACTGCAGACTGGTGGGAGATGTCGTAACACTGTGATGATGGGGCGGAAAACGCTTTAAAACCTTTGGGACTCTTCTATTCTTATACAAACCTGACATGCCATGCTGCGATCAGACAGGCAGTCGGTATATACGTCTCTTTCTCTCACACACACACACACACACACACACACACACACACACACACACACACATCCTCTCCCTGTCAGTAGTCTTGGAAACTCCTGAAGATCAGACATTAATATTAGATTTGCTGAGAAGAGGATTCTTACGTAAGCCACAAGAAAGGCTTCAAGAAGTATTGCTTTTCTTCTCTGATTGTTTTAGGTCTTCCACACATTTCTCATAATTTAACCAGTAAAGCTGTCAGCACAGGGCATGCAATATCCACCCAGCCAATGTATTTACCAGCCAACACTCACACAGACTGGTCGGTCTAGCCATGTATACACGATGCAAGCAGGCCAGGAGGAGGCAAAAATAATAACCGAGATTATCATAACAGCAGTGCAATCATCTCAGGAGGAAAAAGTACAGGCATATTAGGGTTTACACCAATCAGGCACAACATCTGCTTAGAAAAACGTACACAGGTTACCATAACGGTTAAAAGAAGAAAAAACAATATTCAGCCATGTTCAGTATTTGCCTACAACCACTCACGACTAGTACCTGATGCACAGAGTAGCTGTATTGCGATTCAGTGAATATACAATATTGCAGATGGTTGGTTAAGCACTGAAGGTATTTAGCTCCACGAAGATACAAATGCTAACAGCGGGTACATATTTTATCAATGAGGGAAACATTTACAAACCTCAGTTTTCTATCTTGTATTTTAATATCCGCTACTTTTAATTCAGGCAGCTACAAGTTTGGGGAGAAACACATTTACACGTTTTAGCAAAAGGTGTATTAAATTTATGTTTTGTTAATATTTTATCTAGTAATACTGTCTATAACCATCAAGAGTTCAGCTATATTGTCTAAGACAAAGAGTTTATACCATAAATTCAATGTTTGACTCAAACATAATGGGTTGATAGGGGAATACTTGGGTCTTTAACTAACCTAAATGCAGTACAACCAGCTCTATTAGTGCTGTTAGCAATGGAGTTAAAGCTCCACTGCAGCACGTATAAAATAATTAAGGATATCCCAGAGCAATATGCTTTGTTGTGTCCCTTGGTTTGAATTATAGATTGGGTGTGGGTTGACGTTTTGTATCTTACGGGTATTATTTTCTGGATGAGTAGGTCAAATCATAATTCAAATCTTATAATTTACAACGGTTGATGTATCATGTCAAGCAATCTGAAATCATGTTTCAGCTCTCGAGAGAACGTCTTACTGTGCTTTAGAAAAGAAAAGAAATCCGGGAACAGAAAGAAAGACCCTGAGAAAAAACGATGACACAGGATTTATGAATCGATTTTCCTAAGTTTGAGTGAGGCAACCCAGTTTGGCTAAATATGGTCAAACTCCTGAAATGTGCATCCACCTTAATACTGACATCAATGTTTAATATAAAGTTAGTGCCGTCACAGGAGGAAACAACAAGACAAAAACAGTTATTCTTTGTCAGTCAAACCCAGTGTCCTACAACAAGGAAAGCCTTACGATGTGCGTTTCACAACAGCAGTTCACTCTTCTTCTTTTTCCATCCATCGGTGATCTGGTCTTTGATGTTACAGAGGGAGTGTTCAACAGAGTCTCCTCTGTTATTATCCGTCTTACAAAAACGTCACATCTTCTTGCGACTGCACCCACCGCCAGTGTGCGTCGTACTCTAGATGCATTTTGCCATTCATTTTGCAAGTATCCAAGTCAATCTTTCCGTTTTTGTAAGGTTTGAGTTTGGGGCTCTGGCCGGTTCCCAGTTTCTCGTTGATGCCGAGGCGGGTTGGGCTGCCTGTTTGTGTGATCGGTTTCTCCTGGACACCATTAGCCTTAACAACTTGGGCCTGGGTTTTGTCCTTAATAACAAGGCTTCCTCTAACCGTCTCTGAAGCCTTCGTCCAGATCGGAGAGTCTTGCTTGGGGCCCTCAGACTTGGCTTGGAGAGAGCTGTAAGGAACAGCTGGTTTCCCATTTCCCATCCCAGCCTCCCCTGTGACAGCTGTAACCCCAGTCCCCCCTTTCCCCTTCATCCCATTACCAACCCCAGTTCCATTTTCATTAGGCCCAGCCCGAATCCCACTCCCAGCCCCAGAACCAGGCCTCACCCCTACCCCAGCTCCTACCCCAGCTGCTGTGACCGTGGCCCCAGGGCCTCCCCCTGTCCGGCCCACAGCAGTAGCCTCTGAGACCAGCGGCGTGGTGGAGCAGATGACAGACTCCGAGCTGGAGGGGCAGTACTCATCCATGTCATCCGCCAGGGTGTCCAGGTAGCTGCCGATGGAGATGTTATCCAGCTTGTCGTTGGGGTCTTGCAGGCTGCTCCAGGAGCCTCTCCAGGAGGTGTCCGGGCCCTCGCCCAGGCTGTACTGGCTGCTGGTTAGGCTGCTGCAGCGGCTTGTCATCGTGCTGCGTTCCTCCAGCAGCCATTTCACCGCCTCGATGCCTTCATGGACCGCCAGCAGCTGCTGCAAGATCTTCACGTCCACCGAGCGCAATTGAACCTGCGGAGAAATAAAAAGGAGATATGGATTATGTGACAAAGTTTATGACTATTTTAATTAAGTTCATGATTTGATAGTTTTTAATAGAAAAAAGAATGTTATATATGAGAACCAGACAAACTATAAACCTGGGGAACCATCACGACTCTGCAGATGTTTATATAAGCATTCAGCCTTGGCTCCACAGGCAAGCGCAAACACCATTATAATGCTATTAAACCATTGCAGATTGCCATAATTGGAGGTACAGTATACCAGAAGCTGGTGGGTACGCAGCAACCACTGTAGAAACAAATAAGGTAAAAGGAGAGCGAATAAACGTAGAGATGGAAATAAAAGAAAACAGAAAGAGATACAAAGGGCAGAAGTCTTGTATTAAACTGTTTAAAAGGGACACGTGACCAACACTGACTCTTCAGGAGAAGTTGTTGAGAGATGTGTGATACAGTGGAAAAGTATGACCCATTAAAATAAAATCATGAAAAAGAGGTCTACATGCCCTGTATATGGTGCAAAACTACTAATACATGTATTTAGTTATGATGTCACCCTGTATAATAAATAAAGTAATGATGAATCAGAAATAACAGCCATTGGTGTCTTCTAATGTGTGTGTGTGTGTGTGTGTGTGTGTGTGTGTGTGTGTGTGTGTGTGTGTGTGAGTTTGAAAAAGCTAAACGATGAATAAGAGGAATAAGACGGCTGCGGTCATGGAAAATTCCTCCCCAGAATACATTAGCAGAGGTCTGCGGTGAAGTGCAGGGCCAAGAGGTGATATATGGCACCGACATTCAAAGCTATCCAGCGCTCTCTGCAGATAACCAGTCTCTCTCAAAGCTTAAGCTTTTAGTCTTTCAGTATCTCGGTATCCTCCACCTAATATTCTTTTTTTTTATTACTCTCTTCTGTCTCTCACTCTGGCCATTTAGATTGTCTCTGTTTCTTTCTTTCTCAAGGCGGCTGTAGCTCGGTTTTCTGGAGTCATAACTTAAAATTAAGTTTATAAACAGCGTTTATTACCAAACCACGTTTGCGTCTTTTGTCTCACATATGGATACTTTCAGATAGCTTTCATACAACATTACATTTACAATGTATAGTGTTTGTACATTTCACTTCATCTGTTGTTTATGACCAAATTATGTTTTAGCATTAATTAAGTATTTTGATTCTTTGCGTAACTAAAAGTACCAGCACCACACTGTAAGAATGCTCAAGAGAAAATCTGTCTGAAAATAAAGTACTTGAGTAAATGTACTTGGTTACACTCCACCACTGTGTTTTACTAAACTAGTCCATACAAAATACACATTATAATGCAACGATATGAAATATACTGTATATAGCAGTGGCCCCAGTCATAACAATTACAGTAAGACAAAATAGACAAACATTGCAAGTCCATACACAAGCTGTAAAGCATCATTTTACAGTAAAATGTGCATATAACTGGCCAAAAACATGCTCTTGTAGCAGTTCTGTCAGTGTTAGGTAGAAGTGCCTTGAAGACGTTTAATCTCCACCTCTGGAGAGAAACGTACTGATTCTTTCAACCTGCCAACGCTATTTAACTCTTGGTCCTGCATAATGTTTGCATCAATGGATATGCCTCCATCGTCATGCGTCATAGATTTAGTCTGTTTTTTTCTGTCATGATCCTGAGAACAAAATCCCAACTCCCTGTAAGTGTGTTTAAGAGCCCGAGATTCTTCCATCAACAAGGAAAACTGTGTATGTACAGAAAATAATACGTCTCATATATCATCTCTGTGTGTAGGAGGTGGCTGAGCTTTGTTTAAACCATTCACCGTTCAGTGGCTTCTGGCTGAGTAGGGTAAAACTAGCACATGTAGTCGTCTCTTACCCTCACCCTTCTCAGTATCAGACCCACTGTAGATGGGTGATTTAGATCAGTGGTTCTCAAACTGAGGACTGGGGGCCCCTGGGGGGTCCCTAGATACAACTAAGAGGTCACATGGTGATAAGAAAATCTGTTGTGTCTTTTTTTGTGAAATAATGAATATGTTCACCACTTCATCTTCTTCTTCTTCTTCTTCTTCTTCTTCTTCTTCTTCTTCTTCTTCTTCTTCTTCTTCTTCTTCTTCTAAGAATCATTCAAATTATACAATCAGAAAAGGAAAAATGCATCTTTGGTCCAAATTTAGGCAATGACCTTTGAGGAGTCACAAAAGCTGCTTAATTTTAAGGAGTAACAAGCCTAAGGTTGGTAACCATCAGTTCAGATACTGCATCCTTATATGTTTGATATGGGTTGAATATGACAGCCCACTATGTCACCATGGCTATGTAATATGGGCATACATCATTAGAACAAACACTGTTACTTAGTCTGATGGACGTGAAACCTTTAAATGGGTTGTTTATGTGACGTGTGAGGACATTGACTCACCAAACCTAAACCATAACCAGTACATGCCGAACCCCAACCATTACCCAAACTTTCACCAAAGCATGACTTTAATTTGAACTAAAAACGAGTCTTAATCCCAAAATACATGGATGGTTAAGCTTGTGGAGACCAGCTTTTGGTCTCCACAAGGCTAAAAAACAACACTTTTTTTGCAGGCTGCACCTCAACACCTCATGCTAGCACTTACTGCCATCTCACTGTAGCTCTCTGCTCTTAGCTGCTTATTAGGGATTAGGTCAAACGAATGTAAAGTTAACGTGTGTAAAAAGATTCTTGTCTCCAAATCTATAAAGGAGGACACAGAAAATACACCTGGAGCAGCTAAGATGAAGCAGAATGTAAATAAATGAGCTGTGTGATCAATGTAGTGTAGATCTGCTGATGCCAAACGCAAACTGTTGGCTAAATTACAACTGGCAGACACAGCTCCTATGAATATCTCTATCTTGTACCTTTTCTGTACTTGGAAATACAAATAAAAGCACACATTGCAGGGAGGAGTGCCAGACGAAGGATATCAACAACCAGAGCTTTCTCTCTGTGTGTGTGTGTGTGTGTGTGTGTGTGTGGCGTCCCTGGCCACAGTCAGACATTTGGGGTGGGGTTTGGGTTTGAGGTTTGAGGTTTTCTTTTCAGCACTGAGTGCCTACCGAGGGTGGCAGTAAAAGTAGCTCCATGCCGGTCAGCGCTGAGGTGGCACAACGCTAACGTCCTGAGCGCTCAACCAGTCTGTGCTCACTCTGCTGCTGGGCTGTCTGTCTAGAATATAGATAAGTCCACGGTGGCCCTCATAATTCAGTGTGTCATTCTCTGTTGTTCAGACAGAACAAGCATCATGATTTCACCGTGGGTATAACGAAATTGTGATGAGCAGTTTTCAAAATGTTCTTTTCATTGTCTAAAATGCATAACTGAAATGCTTTTTAAACCCGTGGGTCATCAATACAGACATTAACATTGTAAAATACAAAAACGGTATTACATTGTGTAACAACAGTGGAATCCATCCAGTTTGATGAGTCTTACGTTTTGAATTATGCTGCTTTTTCAGCAGGAAATTCTTTTATCTTGTCGTACTTCTGAGATTGATTACGACCTCTAATTAGACGATGAAGTCAAACTGGGGCCAAAATGTTATGTTCATGTAACACCATTCAGGATGAGAGCAGGGAGTGGGTTAGGCATGTTTTAGCCTCGAGGACTGAAACACACATTAATCACTTTAATGCCATCAGTACACGGCCAAACAGATTTCAGTTTTCCTGCTCGGGCATGAGGCCAAGCAGGCCCCGGCTGATCCGTAGGATTCTGGAAAGCTCATTTTCCTGCATTTGCAGATGACACTGCCCTAGTTGGTCTACTTAACCAAGGCAATGAACTGTCCTGTAAAAGAGAGGTTCAATGTTAAATGTTTTAAAATGAAATGTTGGGAAGACCGAAGAGTTTATTATTAACTTCAGAAGAAAGGAGGAGGACTCTCCAGTGATAATAAAGGGTCAGCAGATGGAAATTGTCCAGTTATACAAATATCTTAATGTCTACCTGGACAAAAATGATCAAAAAGGCTGTCTCAGGGATTGTTCTCAATTCTACAGTGACCTCAGGTGAGTCTGGGGAAAGGCCAATGGCCAAATTAACAATGGTTCTGTATTTTGAAGGCCATCCATTACACTGTGGTTTTAACAGACTCAGAAGCTCATTCAGTGAGCTATTCAGGATGCCTCCGTGTTCTACTGAATGACTCAGAAGGTCTTTTGTTCCAGCAGCAGTCAGGTGACTGACTTTACAATGAGCATTTCTAGATCTGGTTTTTAGACGTACCATCTCTCAGTTGTTATTGTTAAATGGCTCTTTATGGTCATATTTATTTGTTGTACTGTGTGGTTGTTGTGTGCTTTGAATGTCTATATTGTTCGTTGTCTGTACGAGTTGATTTTGCAGCAAATGAGTTTCCCCGTTAGGGATTAATAACGCGTTCCAATCTAATCTAATCTTTGCACTTCAAACAATATTCAGCATTACTCTTTGTTTAGGATGAATCTGTTAATGAGTGACAAAAATGGCATTAAAAATGAAGTCCAACTTGTAATAAAACAGAATTTTCCTTAAAAGTATATTTAAGATATTATGGTAGACCGATTTTCCCTCATCAATATGCAAAATTAAGCAGCAAGGTGAATCTAATTAGATGATCCTTTCTTTTAGGGGAATGTGTACAGTACAGTTCATTTTAATCATGTATTGAGAGATTGAGTGTCTAAAGACAGATATTCAGTCTGTGACACAGTGCACCGTGATAACGTATGCACAGCTGAGGCCTGATCGATGACGCAGACTCTCGCATGACAGCGAAAACAGCTTCCCAAAGTCACACGGATACCTAACAGACTGCTGAATCACTGCCAGCAGGGACAGCACGAACACACACTCGTTCTCGCGTACACCAGCAAAATAAACACCCCTCTCTCTCTCTCTCTCATGTCCCCTGGTGTCACTGTCTGATGTTTCACCTTCCCAATCTAACTCTGCAGACACACAGCGTCCTTGCAGTGTCCCTACAGTCTCAATAGACAGAAGGTCGGCCCTGTCTCTCCGTAAACCTCCAACTGCTCCATCTGTCTGCGTTCATTGCCGAATGCTCCATAAAAAAATCTCCACTCATCTGTGTTTTTTGTCTCATTTTCTCTTGTGTTTCTGCATTTGACTGATCAAAGCATTGTTTCACCTGTTTTTTCTTCCCTGAGTATTGTCTTTAAGAAACAGTACCGAAGAGGGGGACAGACTATATGATGTCGATCACAACATGCAAAGTACAAGTCGGACCAAATGAAAAATACATGTGTTACAGATTGAAATACCGCCTGGAAAATATTCTAAAGCAATTTCCTTTTTCCCATACTTCTTCAGCGCTGGTGGTTTCAGCAGCTAGTCAAAATACTTTCAGCACAGTAGCTTTAAGAAGTAGCTGTATTGTCCATCTATTTATGAAGAATATCAACACATAAGTCACGACATATTCTAATGTAAGTAAGAATGATACATTGTTATTTTTATGGTTTTCCAGTGGTGCAATTGAGGAATCCAAATGCTCCAGTTGCTATGAGGGAAGATAGGTCCTTTCGGTTCAAGGGTAAGTTGAAATTGAATTAGACAATGTCTTTGAGAAGACAGCCAGCAGCTAGATAGAGAAAGAAGACTGCCATTAAATAGACTGGATTTTGATTCCCTAGAGCTCAGCTCTGCACTAAAACCTGAATTTGCAATGTCATCTGTCTGCCCAGAGGTGGAATACAGAGATAGAGAGCAAAGGGGAAAAGCTACAGAGAGATACAAACAGACATGGAGAAAGAAGAAGAGCAATAACACAGCATTCACTCTGTATGTCTCCCTTTGATAGCTGATTATGTCTAAAATACAAAAAGCAGCTAGTATACAAAGGGCCTTTAGTGTGTGTGTGTGTGTGTGTGTGTGTGTGTGTGTGTGTGTGTGTGTG